GTTTAACATCTTTCTGTTCTACACCAACTGGGCTAATGAAGATGGGCATGCAGTGGGCTATGAGGGAAATTTCGTCCAGAAAGTGGCATTTCCACCTACTCTTACCGGCTATTTCAAAATCCAAAAGTCAAGGGTTCTTTTACATATAGGACTTTTGTTTTTTGTTCCATTCAAACAACTAGACACTATGTCTTGCCAGGCTCTCAATCACAGGCATGCAGAGTGCTATGGAGGGAATTTTGTCTGGACAGTGATGCCATGGCCAACTCTTATTTCAAAATCCAAATGTCAAGGTTTCTTTTACATACATACTAATGTGAACACAGGAATTTTGTTTTTCGTTCCATCGGAACAACTAGACACTGTCGCTTGCCAGGCTCTCTGGAGAAACCACACTGGAAAATCCCAGGGAAACCTTCTCATTCAACCCTGGTTGGTGAGCAAGCCCCACTCTCACCGAGTTACCATGGCTCTATGAAAGGTCCTGTAGTCTCTGAAACAGTTTATTATAGGAATTGATCTCCTGTACGGCAATGGAGAATATTTGGAACTGATATTAAGAAATAGAGGTAGAAGATTATAAAACACAACTTCTTCTTGGTTTATTACATGCAAGGTTTCAATATCCTTACAGATGGAGCAACAGTGGCTCAGTGGGTAGGACGTTGGCTCGCTAACCTGGAGTTCCCGTGTTTGATTCCTGCGTTGGCCGTGGAAGTTCATAAGGCTTTTCTGGCGTGGTTCCACCTTGTCAGTGGTGTAGGATGGGGGCCTGGCAAGGGACACTGCATGGCCTATATGCCCATCTTCATTAGCCCAGTAGGAGTAGGATGTTAAATCCCATTTCATTTCACTCTTACAGGTATCTTTATCAACAGTGTAAGATTCTTGAAATATTGAATTTAATAAACCAAGAAGTAGTAAATCATTTAAGTTGTGTTATTATGAATGAACACATTCATTTAAATTTTTATTTAATTTATGTCCCCTTCCCTCTCTCCAGACAAATATTGGTTCATTTGTGCTGGAGCGATGCTGATTTGTGGCTGGAATATGATGTTTGTATACAGAACTGCTGGATATAAAAAAAAGAAGAAAAAAATTATAATAAATATTCACATATTGTTTTTATCTCGTTTCAGGGCTGCTTATGTGTCGTTTGGAGGGTTATTAATGAGATTAAAGGGAGACCCTAACAATCTTCACGGATTCGAGGTAGATTCTCATGTCTATCTTATGATGAAAAAACTGGCTTTTTAAAACATCTGTGTATTGTATTTTAATTGTAATTTAGCTTAACCTCGCTATGAAATGAAATTCTACAGTAAAGCAAGAATTTATTGCAGTAATTATTTGGGACATTCTGATTATTGATGGTCTAAAATATGTCATGACCAGTGCCAAATTTAGATGAAGAGGAGCCCTAGGCTATTCCACTTATGAAGCCCCTTCGAATCCCCCATCCTAGTCTATTCCACCAACTTATGAAATGAAGTCCTCCTTATCCCCCACCCTCACGACTAGAAGAAAATGAAAGTGTGTTTTAAACACAATTGAGCAAAGCCAAGGATGGTGCTTGATAATTAAGACTACACAGTGCGTGTAAGAAAGGTTTAGTATGACAGTTTCAAAAATATACACCTTGATCGAAGGGTCCCTAGATCTTGAAGACGTAGGTAAATCTGGCACCAGTCATGACATCAACTGCTGATAGCAAATTATTCATAAAGATAATGATACCCAGGCTCATTAGCATTATTTAAATTATCGGGTACTTTCTGATTAGTGATACGCTAAAATATGTCTTGACGTCAACTGCTGAATGTAATAAATCCCAGCTACCTCATTATTATTATGAAAATGCTGGCAATAATTTCTTGCTTTACAGTAATCAATTCATACTGTGGAATTAGACTCTGTTAAGTCATTTTAATAAAGGTGCTACAAGGTACATTTTAATACCTGGCATAAATGTAGTCGTTTATAATAAGAATAAGATTGACTAGGTCTGTCTACTTGATATTTATGGGAAGAAAATAATTCTGTTACTGAGTTTATTGTCATTTATTAAAGAAAATAGTTTGCCTACATTAATCACAAATGTCAATAGTTCTATTCACTAGTTGCCAGCTTATATAAATAGTCCTACTTAGGAAGGGAGCGAGGCAGGGGCATCGCTTAGACAAAACCCAGGGCATATCATCTGCTATTCTCAAATTTGTGATTAAGCATGGCCATGTTGAGAAAGGCAGGGAGGGGGGGGATTGCTTTTAAAAAACCCATCAGCATGTCATCTGTTATTCTCGAATGTGTGGTTATGTTAATCTGATTTGGATGCTGGTCCAGAGTGCAATAATAACAGGTAGTGCCGCATGACCAGAAGTTTCATTCTCGTGTTGGTGATTCTTTACAACTTGCACAGTGAATATACAAAATATTTTGGTTCACAGATAATCCCTTGTCACTTAAAATGGTCCACATGACCTGTTTTTATTTTAAAAAAAAATAAAAACAGTCCCATTAATTATAGCAGGTAAATATTCTACACCTGTTACAGGAAGTAACTATGTAGTGCTTTGAAATGTGATGTGTATGAGAAGTCATTTAGCCCAGTTGACAAAATAAAAAGACAAAATTAAAAACCTTCCTCCCACATTAGATTATTGGAAAGGATTGTCTGAGAACTAGAATATTTTTTTGTAAGGCCTTAGTAATTTTTCAGTATACCCCACCCACCTATTACATAAGATTAAACTAGTTGATGTTATTTAGGTTAGTTCACAACATGTAACATTATTGATCAAGTAAATTTCATTTCCATTTTTTCATTTTCATCATTTCATTTGCTACGAATAAAAGATGTAAATACTGAAGCTAGTCTTTTTATTTATCATTGGTTGGTCGGGTTCGCTACCGACTTTCGCTGAGAAAGTCCCTCAGGATTTTATGGCAGGGTATAGAAAACAGGTTCTATGTGCAAATTGCTAGTGCATGTAAGTGACTTCCAGGCCAGAAAGGCCTTTGTCTGGTCAAAATTCCTCTCCATTAAGATTGCACATCGGTTACCAAAGTAAAAGTTACCATATATAGTTTCAGAATGTCAGATGAGACATTAACCCCACTATATTGCAGATGACCGGCTTTTAACCAAGTTTCTGTTAATATTAATAGTCATTGAGAATAATGGTTGACTTTAAATTAATAGATGTCTGCAAGACTGTATCCTCAAGACAATAAATTTGTAACAGTTGTGGCCAAGCCTGGAAATAAGGCATCAGTCTTAGACAATGTCATACACAATTCCTTTGCTGCCTGTCATTTTGTCAAGCACTCATTGGTCTTTTATCAAAGTTTTTGCTGGTACCTTTAATACACGGTTGGCACAAAATTTGCAATGTTGGTTACAAATCTCGCCCCCCCAAGCCTTGGAAATATTAAGCTCCTGAAAGTGGTTTAAGCATAAAGTTGTTCCCTCATAATTATCAGTGGAGATGTAGCTGATGAAACTGATTGTTATATTCATGTCCAGTTATTCGCCAAAAATCACAATTTTTTCGCTGCGTGCCCCGCCTAGGCCCCCATCAAACGGCATAATTACATATTTTTTATTGACACCTTTAATACATGCCTGGCACAAAATTCAAAATATCTAGTTCTAATTAAGTAGCGTCTGATATTTAATTGATGCCACTTGAACCGTTATTTCCAGGTACCGGATGACTATTTCTGTTCATACTTGCAGGATTGATTTTACATGTGGAAGAATTAGCTACATGTAATTAGCCCAGATATTTAATAAAACTGTGGGGGGTTATTATAAGTTGGAGGTAGGGTTAGCTACATGTAATTAACCCAGACATTTAATAAAGCAATGGGGGGGGGGGGGGGTATTATAAGTTGGAGGTAGAGTTAGCTACATGTAATTAGCCCAGATATTTAATAATGCTGTAGGAGGGTGGGGGGGTTATTTTAAGTTGGGGGTAAGGTTAGCTACATGTAATTAACCCAGGCATTTAATAAAGCTGTTGGTGTGGGGGGGGGGGGGGGTATATTATAAGTTGGAGGTAGGGTTAGCTACATGTAATTAACCCAGGCATTTAATAAAGCTGTTGGTGTGTGGGGGTATTATAAGTTGGAGGTAGGGTTAGCTACATGTAATTAACCCAGGCATTTAATAAGCAATGGGGGGGGGGGGGGTATTATAAGTTGGAGGTAGACTTAGCTACATGTAATTAACCCAGGCATTTAATAAAGCTGTTGGTGTGTGTGTGTGTGTGGGGGGGGGGGGGTAGTATAAGTTGGAGGTAAGGTTAGCTACATGTAATTAACCCAGGCATTTAATAAAGCTGTTGGTGTGTGTGTGGGGGGGGGGGGGGGTAGGGTTAGCTACATGTAATTAACCCAGGCATTTAATAAAGCAATAGGGGGGGGGGGGGGTATTATAAGTTGGAGGTAGAGTTAGCTACATGTAATTAACCCAGGCATTTAATAAAGCTGTTGGTGTGTGGGGGGGTAGTATAAGTTGGAGGTAAGGTTAGCTACATGTAATTAACCCAGGCATTTAATAAAGCTGTTGGTGGGGGGGGGGGGGGTAGGGTTAGCTACATGTAATTAACCCAGACTGTCACAAAAGCTGTAAGGGATATTCTTATAAGTTGGATAAGGTGGCAAAACGGTTAGAACACCGAACGCAAGCAGAAACTCTAGGATCTGAGACTTTAAGGAGATCCTTTTGATGAATCAGAAAGTTTGTGGTTGAAGGTAGGGTGGTGCCATGATCAGGACATTGGACCCCCGTTTGACAGAGAAGGGAGTCCTGGATCAGGAACTTGAGAAGATTACATTAATGGATCTGACAATTTACAAGTAGGTCCCCAGTAAGAATTCTCGACTACATTATATGTTACATGTAATTTTATGCAGAAATTATGGAAATTCATGTTTAACTTCCCTCTTGACATAATTAAAACATAAGCCATTAAAGGAAACAAGACATTAAAGGAAACAAGATAAATATATTTATATAACAAGTTCTATCATTACAGATATAATATATAAACCGTTTTATTTACACCATCAATTACTTCATAGTCATTACAGATATAAACCTCTGTTTACACCATCAATTCCCTACTTGTATGTGACAAGGGAGTATGGTTGCTTGTCCAACCTCGTGGGTTTCCTCCCACTGCTAAAACCCGTACTTGCAGGAAACCGGAGGACCCGGGGAAAACCCACAAGGTTGGACAGATGACCCTACTCCTTGTCATGTAAAAGTGGAGAATCAAGTCCACATGACCTGACTCAATGACATTTCTACTGATCCAAGATGCACATGTAAACCATTCAGCCGCCCATAGAGTACGAGGCCCTATACTTGGGGTATGTAACCAAGGAGTTGGGCCTGGGAATGCTACTGTTTAAGTATAACCATGGATGTTTTACAAAGGTTTACATTGTTATATTCTTGAAGTAAGTTCCAAATTATAAATACCCACAAATATAACAGTTTTAGTCTTGTTTCTTAACTGTTTCTTCTACATTTTGTTGAATGTCTTTAGAAATAGTCGGGAGATCTTGTACAACATTGCCAACCAGATTGGAGGCCATATTTAAATCTATGTCAAGGGAAGAAGGCACAGTGCTCTGTAAATCGTGTAAAACATTGCTGGCCAGATTGGATGCCACATTTAAATCTATATTAAGTGGAGCAGACACAGTGCTAGACAATGAGGGGGATGTTTCCGTAACCACCGGCAATGAAACAGAGTTACTTCCTGTAGTTGTCGGCACATCTGAAGTAAATAAATCACTTTGAGGTGATTGGACAGTTTCAAAACTTTCTGCTGATGTAACAATTTTGACTTCGTCAGCAATTAATTTCTGAGTATCAAATTGGTTTACATCTGGGTTAGTGTTTGGTGATTGGTTACTTGATTTATTTGACTGGACTTCTGGTTCAACTTTTCCTGGTTCAGTCGCCATGTCAGAACTAGTTGACCCAGCAACCGTTGTTGTTAAGGAAGTGTTTGTTTCAATTTGAATTGGGGTTTTATTCGTCTCGGGACTCAACTGTGGTGTAGGTTGTTTTATTTCCTGTTTAACTGGCATTAAATGTTGAACTTGTTTTACTATTGGAGTTATCTCCACTTGGCATATTTTACCCTGCAACAGAAGAAATAAGTTTATATATTATGGTGTGGTAAGTCCTTGTGACCGCCCTGTGTGTGAACTCAAATGTTGTATAAAACAGAAATGAATGAAATGAAATGGGGTTTACTGTCCTACTGTTCTGCTCCTAAACTGGGCTAATGAAGACGGGCATACGCCATACAGTGTGCTATGAGGGAAATTTTGCCCGGGCAACAGCGCTACGGCCTACTCTTATATTGAATTCCAACTGTCAAGGGATCTTTTATGTGCACGTCAATGTGTACACAGGACCTCGGTTTTTCGTCCCATCCGAACGACTAGACTGCTGTCCTTGTCAGGCCCTCCGTCCTGCATCACTGACAAGGGGAAACCACGCTGGAAAATCTGGATGAACTTTCTAGGCCAATGCATGGATTGAACACCCGACCTCCAGGCTAGCGAGCCAGTGTCTTACCCACTTAGCCACCGTGTATGAAACAGAGCCATGTATGCATAAGAACTAAACAAATATAAACGAACAAAACAGATAAAATAATTATTCTGTATTAGATATAGATAAGTGGGTCAGAGACGGGAACTGCGTAAGACAACAGTTGACCAGACTCTCTCTATAAATATATATATATATATATATATGGCTTTAGTATTAACCAACAGTCTGTGTTCTCTACCCAAATATAGTCACTGCATGACCATTATTTGTTTTACTGCATTATATTCTTATATTGACCAACATTATCTCCACACACAATTACCTCCCTTGTATGGGGATGCTCGATTGTCAGTCTGGATCGTTCTAAATTTACGGAACTGCAATCGTGTGATGCAGAATTCACTCCTGTCACAGTTCTGCCAGTGCCAACAATGGAGGCAGTGTGAGTAGAATTATGACGTAATTAAACGCAACAAATATGTTTCAGCTGTCCTGGTTGGCTGAGATATTTTCTCATGTGTTCTAGCCCCAAATTCCCATTTTCACTCGATTGTCACTATTTTTGGGTTTGACAGAATTTAATTCTGGAACGTTCAATCGAGCATACCTGGTTTTGCTCTTCAAATCTACATAACCAGTTTTTATCCTATAAAATGTGCTTTGAATAATGTCACTATGTGTGAGAGCCAAGACTCTGTGAATAAGTGGTTCAGATTTGAAGGAAATCCGTGGTCCTGTGTACACATTGTAGTGCATGTAAAACAATCCTTGACAGCTAGAATTCGAAATAAGAGTACCTCAGAAAAGTATGATGTTAAACCACATTTTTTACAGCACGCATGGAACAGGTTCCACTTGATTAGCACATAATTTATAACAGACCCTTGGCTATTAATCACGAAATTAGAGCAATCACGAGCAATTCATTTATAGCCCTTCTAATATTTTATAATTATTTCCCGGCTCGGGTATACGTATAACTTACTTCTTTGATGAGATCAGATATTGGTAGACCAAGAACTTGAGATAATTGTGATGTTGGGAATAAAGCCTGTAAACATTTGTTGATGTAAGGTAATAAATCTACCACATACGTAGCACAGAACTGACCAAATTGTTCCTTTTCTTCAATATTAAAGGTTGTTTCTTCAGCTCTATAAAAAAATAAATCGGAATTAATCCCTGCATGATTACTTCAATAATTGTTGTCACTTGGTGATTATCAAGCTGGCTCACTAACCAGCAGTTCCTTTGGTTGTTGGCCGAAAATGTTGCACAGCATTTTCCAGTCTGGTAACCCCATAGTCAGTGGTGCAAGATGGAGGACCTCGTATCCCCCTCGTCAGTGGTGCAAGATGGATGACCTGGTATCCCCCTAGTCAGTGGTGCAAGATGGAAGACCTGGTATCCCCCTTGTCAGTGGTGCAAGATGGAGGTTGGTATCCCCCTTGTCAGTGGTGCAAGATGGAGGTTGGTATCCCCCTTGTCAGTGGTGCAAGATGAAGGACCTGGTATCCCCCTCATCAGTGGTGCAAGATGAAGGTTGGTATCCCCCTTGTCAGTGGTGCAAGATGGAGGACCTGGTATCCCCCTCATCAGTGGTGCAAAATGAAGGACCTGGTATCCCCCTCGTCAGTGCAGATGGAAAAAAAAAATGAGGCTTAATAGGTCAATATTAAATTCTAATTTGTGTTTTTAATTTCGAATGTTATGAATAATATTGAGTTTGAGCTTCATGCCCTTTAAAATTCCAAATATGTACGATGTTGATCCTGTTCATTAGAAAGTATATGATTTAGCAACCGGACGTGTACCATAGTCTCTTTTATCAAGTACACAACCCTGATTAATGTTATTGACAATCATAAATTATACTGGATAATAATACATAACTATAAACAGCAAACGAAAATTCAGCTCTTATGGTGGTGAGTTTGATTTTCTTTTATGTCGTATCATGTTTTGAAAACAATTTCAAATTTTTTAGCCGGTTTTGTTTGAAAATGAATCAATAAATCATTGATTTTCAAGCCACAACAGCCACAAAAACTCACATGGCAGCCATGCATGGGCATGGCTGGCACGTTGGCAAAAAAATTGGAAATTAGACTAGTCTATATAATTCAACGCACGATTCGTAAAGTTGTAGATTTATCGTAATTAAATCGGAAATGCTAGCAATATTTTTTTTTTTTTTCTTTAAATCTGGAACTTTCATGGCTATAAAGTTAAAATTAAAACTCAAATTTGTAAACATGCCGACTTTCGGTAAAAAAAAATAAAAAAAATAGGCCTATGATCATGCATAGAAATAGATATAAGAATAAAATTTTTTACATATTATAAATTGTAAGATTCCATTTAAACGAAGAGCTGTTGGTTCTTGAAATAATTTATTAAAGATAGATGTGTTGAAAATCTCAAACTCAAATTACTTTATATATTATATTTGTTCCCTCTTGTCAGTGATGCAGGACGGGGGGCGTGACAAGAACAGCTGTCTAGTCGTTCAGATGGGATGGAAAGCTGACGTCTCGTGTACACATTGGCGTGCACGTAAAAGATCCCTTGAGAGTTGGAATTCGATAGGCCTATGTATAGGAGTCGGCCGTATAGTGCCGCTGTCAGGGCAAAATTTCCCTCATAGCACACTATATGGAATGCCCGTTTTCATTAGCCCAGTTCGGAGAAGTAGGACGTCAAACCCCATTTTATTTCATTTCAGTATAGGCCTACCGTATGTTTGAATGTTTTGACAAGATTTATTTAGCCTAAATTACAATGTTTTGAGAAGGATTTGAAGCAAAATTATGACAAATTAATTAGTTTGAATATGTGTTTAGTCCTATTATAATACCATAAATCACCCAGTTTGTACACAGGAATGTATCTTTAAATAGGCATAGGTACATGTACTATTGGATTGCTATGATAATATTAAACAAAGTCTCGGATACCGTACGTCCAATTAAATGGCATGGGTGCTAAATATTTAAGAAAAGATTTTTATTGACTCATCTTAAACAGGTAAACACAATATCAATATGCATTGCACATCGTCATAACATCACAACAATATTCATAAAATTTAGGTTACCAGTACAATAATTTACATACCTGTAATTAATTAAGAAATAGATAGATATGGTATATCAAGGTTGTGGACCCTCTAGAGACCAAAGTTTTTATCCAATTTGGATGAAACTTTAAATATATGTTTTTATCATTAAGATCTTGGTTCCTTTTGATAATTATTAACATTAGTGTTACTTTGCTCTTATTTATTGAAAAAATTTTCACAAGTTGATTTCCTTTATTTTGTTAATGTAGTATGGTAACGAACTGCTCTTTTCATTTTCTTTGTTTTATTTGTTTCGTTTGAATTTGATTTATCTGTTTAGTTTTTGATTGTTTAATTTTTGTTAATGAAATTGATTCTTTTAAACTTCGTTTTTATTTTTGAACTCTACTTGGTGTAGGTGTTCATCAGGTAATACCTCGACTGAGTTCAATATTGAGATTAGCCGGTTGATTTGTTGGATATAAACCTTTGAATAATAGCGCCTAACAGGCAGCTGTGTTTAATTATGTTCTCCTGATTTTGAATGTTTCTGTGTGTTTGTGATATGCGCTTAGAAACACTTCACGTGTAATGAAGCGCTATATAAATCGAACAATAATAATAATGAGATAAATATACTGCCTTGATATGTCTTGTTGATGAGAAGTTATCATTTGACAAAACAAAAACGAGAAAATAAAACCCTCCCTCCCACATTAGATTTATTTGTAAAGGATTGTCTGAGAACCAGAATAAGCAGTTGATATGGCCTAAGATATGAAATGAAATAGGGTTTAACGTTCTACTGTTCTGCTCAGACTGGGCTAATGAAGACGGACATATGCCATGCAGTGTGCTATGAGGGAAATTTTGCCAGGCCAGTGGCATTATGGCCTACTCTTATATCGAATTTCAACTGCCAAGGGATATTTTATGTGAACAACAATGTATACACAGGACCTCATTTTTTTTGTCTCATCCGAATGACTAGACAGCTGTCCTTGTCAGGCCCTCCATCCTGTAAAACTGACAAGGGGAAACCATTCTGGAAAATCCTGATCAACTTTCTCGCCAATGCAGGGATCGAACATGCGAACTCCAGGCTAGCGAGCCAGCGTCTTACCCACTTAGCCACTCTCTCGGCCAATGCAGGGATCGAACACACAGACTCCAGGCTAGCAAGCCAGTGTCTTACCCACTTAGCCACCTAAGCTAAGAGAGTGTTTGTATGATTACTAACCTGTTAAATGCGAGTACAACACGATTTATCTGTAATAAAGATCGCTGTAGAGATTCAGCCACATTACAAGCTAGATTTATCGGAGCACAGAGTCGTAATTCATTGAAGGCTATCAGAATGTGATTACAGTATGCAGCTAGTGGATAGAAATCTAATAACACAGTCGGAGGATATAACTGACCTGTCTAAAATATATATATACAAAAAACATAAATATTGTAGACAAATATTCATAGAATTCAATATTGAATAATGGCTTTGAAGAATTTGCATAAAACACCCAGAAAATACAGAGTGAGATTGAGAGAGAGAGAGAAATGGGGTTTAATGTCCACTCGACACAAAGAAGGTCATTTTGGGACTAACATATGGTTCAATTTTATTTCCATAATTCACATGCGTGTAGGGGTCTTTAGCAGTGGAAGGAAACCGGAGGACCCGGAGAAAACCCACGAGGTTGGACAGGCGACCCTAGAAATGTGGTATAGCTCCACCTGACACATACTAGGTCATGCTGGGACTAACATATAGTTCAATTCTATTTCAATAATTTGCTTGTGGGTACAGGTCTTTAGCATGGAGACAAAAACGTAGTGCCCACGTTAGATCAAAATGAGTATTAATGTCTCTAGTGGAACTGTACTATATTATAAAGCTGAGACAACTGAGTCATGACCGCACAAACAAACAAATGTCAAGACTAGCTTTACCATGAGACCTGTCGATAAAAACGCATTGATTTCACAGCAGAAACATAAAAATATAAAGAATTAAAATCCGACATACCTGGGTACCATAAGCTATATTACTACCAGTAGAAGATATACCCAATAAATTATAGGACTGCATATTCTCTTCAAACCTTAAATAATTTACAATTTGATCATAGAAAACAATAGTAGAGAGAGAGAGAGAAATGGGGTTTAACTTCCACTCAACACAAACTAGGTCACTTTGGAACTATCATGGTACAATTTCATTTCAATAATTCGCTTGCACGAAGGGGAGGAAACCTGAGGACCGGCAGGAAACTCACCAGGTTGTCTCATACAAGCTTTGAATCAAACCCACACAAACTTGACTTAATGACAGACCTTATGATCTAAAGCACACGTTAGACCATGTGACCCCCCCTCCCCCCCATTGAACACAGAATCCTAAGCCCTAAGAATCGACTTATGAAACCAAAGAAATGACCAAATAACTAGCTATAGTGCTCCCAAGCTTATATGGTTATAGAGCAAAATAAAAGTTGACATTTACAAAGTATTTGGATCACATGTGGATTATCAATATTACTAAAAAAATAAAATAAAAAAATTGCTGAAACAGGTGTCTTCGGCTCATGAATGTAAATAAAATATTTAAATTTTAAGAAGCTTGGATGATAAATGTCATCTGTAGTGTGTTCCCAGACGGACAGACAATAAATAATTAATTACTTACTTTTTATTTGCATCTTGGAGGGCAGCTTGAAAATAAGAGAGTGCAGCATTCTGAAAGATGGGAGCTAACAAACCCCTAAAGTCAGCACCAACTCGACTAAAAGACAGCCCAAAATACATACACTGACCTAACAAGGAGTCTAACCGACCCCCAATACCTCGCTGTAGATCATTTTCTAATGTTGATAAAAACTGGGAAACCTAAAATACATTTTAATACAGAATATTTTATTTCTATCAAGTATGAAGGTGTTGTGAAAATTAGAAGATGCTATACCAAAGAGGAGGAATGCTGTATAAACGGAGAGTACATTAAAATGAAATGAATTGGGGTTTAACATCCTACTGTTCTGCTCCGACTGGGCTAATGAAGATGGGTATTCGCCATACAGTGTACTATGAGAGAAATTTTGCCCAGTCAGCGGTGCTACGGCCTACTCTTATATCGAATTCCAACTGACAGGTGATTTTTTTACATGCACGCAAATATGTACACAGGGCCTCAGTTTTCGTCCCATCCAAACGACTAGACAGCTATCCTTGTCAGGCCCTCCGTCCTGCACCACTGACAAGGGGAAACCATGCCAGAAGGAGAGTACATTATTTGAAGGACTATAACCACAAGTTAAGAATATTGGATTTTGAGTTGAATTACCATAAAATTATTAATCATCCAAATTCTGTATGTAATAAATCCTAAAAAGGAATTAGAGACTAGGTCATTTCCAGACTAAAATATTACGCTTGTGCCAAGGAGTCTTCAGCAATGGAGGAAACCCATGAGGTTTGGACTGGCAACCTTACTCCTTATCACGTCCACATGATGCAATAACAGACCTTATGATCAAAAGTGCATGCACACAAACCCCTCCTGTTGCATATGAACGAATAATCAATAAGTGGAAACTTAAAATAACCTCTTTTGTCTTAAGAGCATACAGTAAACTTTCTCTAGTTTTCAAAAATCTCAAGCAACAGATCCAGCCAGGATGCATGATCAGAAGTTTCTTTAATCTAAATAAATTCCCAGATAAAGAATTAATTTATACCTTTTGTACAACCCAGCCATGGAATAGAGCTGTTTCATTAACAGTTGTATCTTGTCTAGTTGTAAGTAGTGGATCATCATCGGAGAATATAGCTCTATACTGTGTTATAACATCAAATAGATGAACTCGACTTGCCTCTATAGTCTTAGTTATATGATTATAAGCTGTAAATAGAATTAGATTATATATTAATAAAGAGAGAAATGGGGTTTAACATCCACTCGAGACAAACAAGGGACTAACATATGGTACAACTTTATTTCAATAATTTATTTGTAGGATGAGGTCTTTAGCAGAGGACCTGAAGAAAACTCATGGGTAGGCGACCCTTCTCTTGCCACGTACAAGTTTGAAATTGAAACCACACCACTTGACTCAATGACAGACCTTATGATCTAAAGTTCTGCTTGACTATTCAAAGTTTCTTTGAAAAGAAAAAAAAACACAAGCTCAAAGTTTATGTCCAATAATATTCTGCAGTCTAAAAATACAAGGCACCAGTCTGATATTGATGCTAAAAATAATGAGGTAAGCTTTTGACAAAGAAGTTAACACATTTCCACTGACATTTCTTATAGTTTGAAGAGATTTTAGAGACAGTAACTTACGATCATCTTTAGGAATAGCTTCTAGTATGTTCTGTAACCAGCTATCTCTAGCCTGTAATATATTAGAAACTTATATTATTATTAAATTTATATTCTATTTTGTATCATCTTCTTTGATTGGCATTATATAAGTAATTGGACATATTAACACAATTTATTTTATGATCAGTAGTGGAATACCGTGTTTTATCAGTGAAATAAAAGTGTTATTTCACTGGCTAGTTGTTTTTACCTAAAATGATTGTAAAATCATAAAATAAATAGAACATTTGTTGTTTTGTCGTGAATAACATATTTTATTTCATCTCTAAGCAAGAAAACGTTTATATTTTCACTCATGCTACGCATTCGTGAAAATATAAGTTTTCTTGCTTCTCGATGAAATAAAATATGTTATTCACTCTAAAACGACAAATATCCTCTATGTACTTGATAAAGAAGAGAGTATCCTCGTCGAAACGTCGCTTAGTATTAAACTCAGTAATTGTGCATCCATGAAATTGTACCATGTGTTATTTTGTATTAATTTATATTCATCATTCATAAATTAAATAAAGTTTAATGTCCTACACTGGGAGTCAAGGTGGCTAACTGGGTAAGACGCTGGCTCCCTAGTCTGGAGGTTGGGTGTTTGATCCCTGCATTATCCGAGAAAGTTCATCACGATTTTCTGGCGTGGTTTCCCCTTGTTAGTGGTGCAAGACGGACGGCCTGACAAAGACAGCTGACCAGTCATTCGGATGGGACAAAAAACCTAGGTCCCGTGTATACATTGTCGTCCTCGTAAAAGATCAGTTGGCAGTTGAAATACGATATAAGAGTAGGCCATAGTGCCGCTGCCTGGGCAAAATTTCCCTCATGGCACACTGTATGCCCATCTTCATTAGCCCAGTCCAAGCCGAACAGTAGGACGTCAAACCCCATTACAGTTCAATTCAATTAATGTCCTACTGTTCTCCATCAACCAGGGTTAATTAAGATGGGTATACTCCATTTTAGACATTTTTTCAGATATAGCCATAGTCATGGAAGGGAGAGATGGATAGAGTTAAACGTCCACTCCACACAAACATTAACTATATTATTGTGTTGCACTTTATTTTGCACTGTTTTAATACAAAGGAAAAATTAAAAATAGTTACCTGAAGAAATTTAATTCGTAATTCAGCTTCTGTGAAAACATCCATACGTCTTAGATAACCTATTACACGTAAACATGCTGGTAGTTGTATATTGGTACGTAATTGTTGTATTAACTGATTTAACATTAACTGAGTCGAGTTTCTTACTTCATTCACTATATTCTGGACATTAAAACAATAATATATCTTTAAATACAGAGTGTAGTGTAATCAAATACCCATTTGAGCAATCTCAATTTCAGGGAAAGCCTCCATGGTGGCTTTTCCTCTTCTGATTAAAACTGACCTCGTTGATTGGGTCAATAATAAAACAAACTGTCCATTTTCATAGGATCTTTTGTACGTTTTCTGGGAAGAAAATCTGTCTTTTAAGTGTACATATAAAACCACCACGTCATTTTGGGACTAACATACTCTATAGTTCTATTTCAATAATTTGTTTGCAGGTAGGGTTTTTAGCAGTAAGAGGAAACCAAAGGACCCTGAAAAAACCATGCCACTTGACCCTTTAATTGAGATAACACATCAGATCAACCCAATCCAACCCTTTATTTTTACCTAAATCAAAGAGGTTTTTTCATTTCAGTAAACAACTCGCGGTTATTTCAACAGACAACTTACACAACAAATCTCGAGATAAAACCAGCGGCTGCCAGGCAGGATACGCCCACATTTTTGAGAGATGGATAGAGAACAAGCTAAAAAGAAAATGATTTTTCCTACAATCAAGGGCCATAATTCATGAAGTTACAATTCGATATGCGCAAATATCGAAAGGAACCAAGATCAACATGCATTTCAAGTTTCATCAAAATCGGATTAAAATTGTAACCTCTACAGGGTCCACAACCTTGATATACCATATTTTTACACCTTTCGCGTACAAGCGGCGGCCATTTTGTCCGGCAATTTTGGTCCGATTTTTACGAAATTCGAACTCAACCTTCATTACGGTGTAACGGTGATATAATCAAACGTTTGTGACCTTCAAAGGGACCACAAGCTAAAAAAGGCGATTTTGCGTACAATCTGGGCCATAATTCAGGAAGTTACGATCCAATATGCGACAATATCGAAAGGAACCAAGATCTTTAGGTTATAAACATGCTTTTCAGGTTTCATCAAAATTGAATTAAAATTGTGACCCATACAGGGTCCACAACCTTGATTTACCATATTTTTACACTATTCGCGTACAAATGGCGGCCATTTTGTCCGGCAATTTTGGTCTGATTTTCACGAAATTCGAACTCAACCTTCCTTAGGGTGTAATGGTGATAAAATAATACGGTTTTTTAAATCAGATAAAAATTATGACCTCTATAGGGTCCACAAGCTAAAAATGCGATTTTTCGTACAATCAGGGGCCATAATTCAGGAAGTTACGGTCCAATATGCACGAATATCGAAAGGAACTGAGATCTTTGGGTTATAAACTTACATGTCAAGTTTCAACAAAATCGGATAAAAATTGTGACCTCTATAGGGTCCACAAGCTAAAAACATGATTTTTCGTACAAACAGGGGCCATAATCCATGAAGTTTTGATCCGATACATGCCAATATCGAAAGCAGCCGAGATCTTTTGGGGATAAACCTATATTTCAAGTTTTGTCAAAATCGGACAAGAATTGTGACCTGTAGAGAGTCCACAAACAAATTGTGGACGGACGGACGGACGGATGGACAGGGGCGACGACAATATACGTCCACATGAAAATGTGGGCGTATAAAAACGTTATGAACAATACATAAATATAAATCAAACAATACAATGAAATTTTACCATAATAACAGGAATATTAGCATGTTTCTTCTCCAATCTTTTAACATGAGCAGTAAGTTCCAAGGCTTCCTCGTAATATCCATTTCTAACACATGTATCCATTAACTGAGGCATCTCTAATATTTCTAATAGTTGGGTGTGTCTCTGTAGAGTCAACGTATTCATACGACGACTAAAAATGTAAATAAACAATAAAGAATAACAAGTTCTGAATATAGAATGAACAAAATGGGGTTTTACAGGTAATGTCCTACAAAATATATTTCATAACAAACATGTAATGCAAGGCACAGTGTCTAATGTTGCAATGTTGCGAAAAACCAAGATCCTGTGTATACCTTAATGTGCACGTTAAAGAAACATTGACAGTTGGAATTCAAAATAAGAGTAGGCCGTTCTACCATTCTTTGGACCAGTGACCGCCCTAGACTCTTAAAACCTTTAGCCAAATTTTTAGCCAATTCAAAATTTTATTAGCCAATTCAGAAAGTTTTAGCCAAATATTTTATATCATTTTTATTCATATGTTTGTTAATTAAAAATGAAAATAAATGTGTGTGTGTGTTTGTTGTATTTTACGTCCGCTTCCACCGAGGTGATATCGCGGACAAAATAAATGTTTAATATGTACTTTTATTTTATGATCAGTAGTGGAATATCGCGTTTTATCAGTGAAATAAAAGTGTTATTCCACTGGCTAGTTGTTTTTACCTAAAATGATTGTAAAATCATAAAATAAATAGAACATTTGTCGTTTTGTCGTGAATAACATATTTTATTTCATCTCTAAGCAAGAAAACGTTTATGTTTTCACTCATGCTACGCATTCGTGAAAATATAAGTTTTCTTGCTTCTCGATGAAATAAAATATGTTATTCACTCTAAAACGACAAATATCCTCTATATATAGTACACAAGAATATTATTTTATCTCCTTGTTCATGCAAAAGTTCACATTATTGAGAGAATGAATGCAGATAACAAAAAAATGTTTATAGGACGTACTTCACAGTCACATGATTTAATTTACTTCATCGTCATAACAGAAAAGACACGACGATTCTTTTTAAGACACCGCTGATTTGAAATTTATGTCCGGTCCATCCATTTTTATAAGCATGAGGTCATTGAGGGTTAGCTCGACGGTCTCGGTTAAAGGTCTAATTTTTGTCCACATGTTGATGAAGCCAACGAAGGACTTGCGTCCGAGATGACACGCTCACTCACGGAAGTAGATTCTGGACTAACAGTAGTCGTAGGAAGGAAAAAGGAATCTATCCTTATTTTGGGTTTACTAGTATTAGTTGTCATTAATGTGCGTTTTATTTATTTGCTGCGTAAGTAAAGAAAACTTGTAGTGAAGCGAATGTAAACAACGCAGTGCCACACAAAAGGGGCGTAACTGTGTTTTATAGTCTCCAGACTCGATCTTTCGGTCGTTTTAATGCGTAATATTGTAACATTGACTGATTTGCGACTTGTAAGATTGAGACTAGAGTAATTAATGTACTAAAAATAGACACTCCATCGAGTCGATCGAAAGAAGCGTTTAACGAGACGATTTCAAGTTTAATATTAGCAGATTAACGAAATAACACTCTCTAAAATTCATTCGCCAAATTTTTCGCCAGTATCATCACTTTATTCGCCAATAAAAATAATTGTCGCCATTGGCGAATTGGCGAATGTCTAGGGCGGTCACTGTTGGACAATAATTTCCCTCAAAGCAAACTGCATGGCGTATAGCCTACCTGTTTTCACATTAACCCAGTTGGTGCAGAAAAGTAGGCTGATCAATTTTATTTCATTTACAAACATGTAATACCAATATTTAAATCTTGAACAATCTGTCTGGTTTGTATCAATATTACAAATATTCAATGTATCTAATTTAAAGAGATTTTGTAGCAGGTTTTTTTTTTATATCTTATAAGAGAATTTTGACTAATAATGTTGGAGTTTTATCAGCTTTCAAACCAAATTAATTCCAGATTGACAGTTTTAAGGTGAAATGAATGAAAGTATGAATGACAGGTGTGTACCTGTAACTGTCTATCTAATATCTTACCTGGAACTTATTTCTTGTGTTTTTTTGATAACTTTATCACATTCTTGTGAGAAATTCGGTAATTTAGTCAACAGAGAATCTAGATGACCTTCGATAATCTGAAACTATAAAAAGAATAACTTTCATCATTAATCAATAATTATACATACTAATACATGACCAAATATAGTAATGGGCATTTTCACAATATCATGGTACATGTAATACAAAATGTGTCAGGATCAGGAGGTCCCATCCCAGTGTTGATCGAAAAAGTTCCTAGCGATTTTCTAGCCTGGTTGGCTGTTTCCCATTCGTCAGTGGTGTAGGATGGAGGAAAAACGTCTAGTGGTAATAATGCATAATCTCCTTCATGATTTGAACTATGACCTGTTTTGATATCTATTTACGTTCACCATACTATGTATACTATGTTTCAAACAAATTCACAGCCGAATAATCTTCTAAATATGTGCAAACTTGACAAATATACCATGTTTGAACAATTTGATCTCTACATATAAATGTATGTTCAAAACTTTACGTACATCTTCAAATATTTCTTTAGAACAATCAGCTGTTTGTATAAAAGTTGTGTAATTATGAAAAGCTAAGTTCCTGGTTTCTTCTAGAATCTGGGCTCTTTCTTCAGCTAATCTATCTGGTTCTCTGGCTTAAAAATACAAAATATAACACAAATCAACAGACATTTCCCTTAAGGCAAGGAAGAATATCTAAAAATAATTCTTATTTAGTCAAGGTCGATTTGAATATTATAAATTTCATAATAAAAAAAAAGGACAAGGTATAAAAATACAAGAGGATAAAAAAAAAAAATTGTTCGTGATCTTTCACAGTAAGCTGCATATGGCCAATTTTGGCTGTATCATTTGTACTTGCAGTTGTTCAGGACTAATAAATCCACACAAAGTTTGCTCTCACCCAATGTATCAACTCCAAAAGAACTCAATTCAACCAGATATTTAACAAAATCAGGGTTCTCCTGCCAATTTTCTGAAATAGAAAAATAAAATCTAAGATATTTCAAATATGAATATGAATTCACTGAAGTGAATCTTATGAAGGCTGGGGTCACAGTGGCTCAACAGAGAAATACCTCAGAATTTGCGGCATGGTTCCTCTGTTGTCAATGCTGCAGAAAGGAGAGTCTGGCAAGGAACAACCTGTCTGTCATTAAAGATACAGAGTGGCTATTGTTAGGACGAGCCTGAGCCAAGTTTAGAACAAATTCCAAAATGGCTGCCAATCTCCCCAACACCAGTTTTGAAAAAGGAGCAGTATTTTCAACGTTTTCAGAACTGAAGGCAGCAATTAAGTGATGGGAAGGGTTAGGGTTAGGACTATTTTTACGACTATTCAGTTTTTAACTTCGCCGATGGAGGGCTTTGAAAGCATCGTCGTAACAATAGTCTGAGGACTATTTTTACGACTCGTCGTAACAATGTCAATAGCCACCAATCACTTCTAGGCCATATTTTATATATATTTTATATTGACTTTATTAGTTCTAGTTAAAAATAATTTAATAAAATTTTTAAAAAGGTCTCAAACTTCAACTCAAAATCAACAAAAATAAAAAAAAAAGAAGATAATTTCAATTGAGTTTGTCAATCATATGATCTCCCATTTGCACAATCAAATGGCTTGATGCCTGAATTCAAGCTCATTGTCAGCTTATTTTGGATCTGTATTCTAAAAATGTCGCTATAGATTGTTTACCTGAAAAGGCATCTTTGAATATAGATGTCAAAATATTTTCGTCTTCCACGTCTATCGTCGACATTTTGCTGTCACGTGATTCAATCACCTTTTGTAACTTCTTCCCAAACTCTCCAATAAAATTTATATAATCAATTCCCTTATACAATAACCGCTGTTCAGATTTCAGCGTCATGTCTGTGTCTTCATTTTTAATGTTTCCGAGGTAATTGGGACACAGAAGCAGTGTCAGGTTGATACAACTTTAAAAATGTATTAAAACAATTTTATTCAAGGGAGATAATTCCTTTATGAAGACTGTCAAAGGGAGGCAAATGCATTTATACGTTTCAAGGTGCTCGACCTCCTCAAGAACTAGAAGGATTATTTTGCAACTGATCATAGAATTAGACCAATTTATATAGTGCCCTGTTCTTCCAGGTGTGTATTTTATCATCCAACCAAGTCAATGGTGAGCGAGTAAGTGAACCAGTACACTTTGACTGGGAATAATATTAAAATAGTATATAATGTCATGACACAGACGACAGTATTTACTTACTATATTCGTTCAATAAAAAATGGATTAGGACCAGTTACATGTAAGGTTAAAGTTTTAGGGTTTGCATTTATTGAAGTTTAAAAAGGGAGCGACGTCAAACATGAATTAGTGACTAAGAAAATTAAAGTAGAAAAATCTCTTACCTAGTATTATCCATAATCTTCGGTCCATTTCATTCAATTATCAATATTTGAGGTTGCTCATGCCCAATGAACATTTTAATTTTAAAATCGTTCTGCGGAAGTCATGTTCTGTATGCGCTCGAGTGCCATTTGTAATTTCTGTCAATAAGAGAAATGTCAAAGTAAATTATCAATTTAGTGATAACCAGACACTAGTCCAGCTCTGAACGAAGCATTGGCGAAAAAGTTTGGCTTCCCAGTCAATTTTACTGGGCAAATTTTTACTGCTAAACGGTTGTGTGTCAATCCCTGTGAACGCCTGAACAATATAAATGAAAATCTTAGTGAGAAAATAAGACCTTGCTTACCTCGCTAGAGTCAGTATGAGCGACACAACACGCTGTTAAAAAATACATCTCCGTCTTATGTGCTTTTATTTAAACCTATTTTAGCTTCCAAGGTATAGAAATTGACAGGTAACTCCTTAAATATGCAGTAATTTTCAAAAAAATAATATTCAGTACATTGGCAAAATTCTCTTATTGTAAGCTACTGTTTTTCCATTTCAGGTGTCAAGGGTTGGACTATTTACAGTGATATGGTGGACTGAAAGCATACACCATTAAAATGATTTTCAGTAGAATTAAACCTTCTCTTTTGAAGAGGACTCATCAGTTATTGTTAAACTGTAGATCTGTATCTACACTTTCAAACTTAGCTCAAGCATTCAATACCCGTCAATCGCAGAAACTAAATCTAAGTTTTACTCGGGAGGATGTTGGTCTTTTCGGAATCCCAGAATTAACAGATTATGGGGGATTTTACATTCTTCAAGAAAAAGTTAACAGTGAAGTTGATGCCCTTTTAAAAGAAATTTTGAGTAAAGATCGTAAACGTAAAATAGTGGAGATCTTCGATGAACTGTCAGACTGTTTGTGCCGAGTTGCTGACATGGCAGACTTTATTCGTGTAGCCCATCCAAAAGCTGAATACGCAAGTACAGCGGAAGAGGCGTGTATCAATTTATCAGGAGTTGTGGAAAGACTGAACACTAATATTGAAATCCATAAGGCTTTAAAAACAGTGATTGAAAATGGAGATGTAGTAGCGACAGATTCCCTGGATCAAAGAGTTGCAGAACTTTTCATCTTTGACTTTGAACAAAGTGGAATTCATCTTCCAGAGGATAAGAGGGAAAAATTTGTTAAACTAAATGAGAACATTCTCTTTCTTGGAAGCCATTTTATGCAAGGAATTCACAAACCTGGAAGCATTAAAAAATCAAAATTACCTGAAAATCTTCGGAATTGTTTTGGTTACGACGGTGATAATATCACTGTTACTGGTTTGTATTCTGATCACTATAGCGACACTGTACGAGAAGCTGCGTATCGTATATTTCTACAAGAAGATGAACACCAGGAGTCGCTACTGGATGGTTTATTGTCTGCACGTAATCAGTTAGCTAAGTTGGTTGGCTTTCCCACATATGCTCATAGAGCTATACGTGGAACAATGATGGAGACCCCTGAAAATGTGATGCAATTTTTAAGTACACTAGGAAGCAGGTTAAGTTCGAAAGTTGACTCTGATTATGCCCAAATTCTTAAGCTAAAACAACGCCACGGTGGTCAGGGTAAGGGAATATATGCCTGGGATCCACCCTATTATACAGCTTTAGGACGACAGGAGTTCCTTAATTTACATTCACAGGACATCGCTCCTTACTTCTCCCTCGGCGCCTGTATGGATGGGTTGAATAACTTATTTAACAATTTATATGGTGTCTCCTTACAGCGTGTAGATATGGCGCCGGGAGAAGTTTGGACTAGTGATGTACATAAACTTGCTGTTGTTGACGAACAAAATAACACACTTGGATATATTTATTGTGATTTTTTCGAGAGATCAAATAAACCCAATCAGGACTGTCATTACACTATACAGGGAGGTCGGCAGAAATCCGACGGAAGTTATCAGCTACCAATGGTGGTCTTACAATTAAACCTCCCTCTGCCTCAAAGTCGTGTGCCTTCATTACTTACTCCAGGCATGCTGGAAAATCTCTTTCACGAATTCGGCCACGCGATGCACTCAATGTTAGGTCGAACCAAATACCAACATGTCACTGGAACCAGATGTTCAACAGATTTTGCCGAAGTGCCATCTGTCTTGATGGAGTTTTTTGTATCCGATCCCAGAGTTTTGTCAACATTTGCAAAACATTATAAAACTGGAGAGAGCCTTCCGTCAGGTGTTGCTGAGAAACTTTGTAAATCTAAATCCTTGTTTTCCGCGTCCGACATGCAGCAACAAGTTCTTTATTCCATGCTGGATCAAACTTACCATGGCGAGTACCCACTAGGAAAAACAACCTCACAAGTCCTTGGTGAATTACAAAATACATTTTACGGGGCTCCATACGTTGAAGGAACGTCATGGCAGCATAAATTTGGACATTTGGTGGGATATGGGGCAAAATATTATTCATATTTACTGTCAAGAGCTGTAGCTTCTAGTATCTGGTATAAATGTTTCCACAAAGATCCATTTAATCGAGCTATGGGAGACAAGTACCGATATAAAATGTTGGCTCATGGTGGAGGGAAACATCCCAGAGAACTGGTTGAAGATATGTTAAATGAGAAACCGACAGTAGAAAAACTCGTTGATTCTCTAATTCACGATATAGAAATTAATCAGCAATAAATTTTTTTTAGTCTGATTAGGTACCGTAATGAAAATAAAAGTCAAAATATTATCAAGGGGAGGCAAGATTTTTTCAGTTGATAGGATGACCTGGAAATAATGGTGTTAGCTTATAATACCTGACAAAATGGTGACACTATTGAACTTGTACCTGACATTTTTAACATGTGTTGGACATGTATTAAAATTATCAATAAAAACACAGGCAGCACAGGGCTTGTCCGTGATAAAGCCTGAATTTGGGTCAGGCAATGTTGGTGACAGGTAGTTGATTTCCAAGCTTGTTTATGATCCACCCAGTACATACGCTAACGTAATATCCTAATAAGTGTACCCTAACTGACAGCTTTTCATTGTAATTTACCGAAAAAAGCCTACAATTTTTTTAATGGAAATTATCAAATGAATTAGAAATTCAGTTTTGAACTAAGACTCTTTTTATGTTTATTTGTATGAGTCTTGTTTTTCTGAATGTTGGTTATTTAATTATATTTTTGTAATTTTGTTATTGTTTTTGTTTGTGTAAATGTTGGTTTTTTAATTATACTTTGTAGTTTTGTGGCTATTGTTTTGATTTTGTTTGTGATACATGTATAACAAACATCTTTGTATAGTGGTTGCAGTAAATTTTAAAGGCTTTTATCGCTTTGACATTAAACCTCTAAAATTCCTCTACAAAGATTTATTATCTGTCCATTCCAAACATGTCATTGGAAACAAGAAATGTTCAATTCAAGACATCTTGATAAAAGTGAATGAGATTTTAAGTTGCAATATTGGTTGATTTGCTTTGATTAACCAAGTTTGAGCTACATATAAATAGGGTTTTTTTTGTTTTTTGATTGGTATGTAAAATTAATTTTAACATTAATTTGTTATGTTTGTAATCAAGAATAAATATTTGAATTTTATGCATGTAAACTGATTTATTTTTCTACCAACATTTCTGTTACATTCCTACTCCCATTCCTTGAATTAAATCTGGATTTATTGGAGGAGGGGGTGGGGGGATTACATAACTCTTTCAGACCTTGCCTCCAACCAATCTTGACCTGATAAAATGCAACTATATGATAGCCTATAGCTATGTCAGATCTGTTCAGTTTTGCCTGAGAAAGCTCCTTTGTTATGATTTTCCGGCATGCTTTTCTCTTGCCAACAAGGATCAGTATCTAGTTGTTTGGATAAGGCAAAAAGACGAGTTCATGTGTACACATTGGTATGCACGTAAATGAACCCTGAATAGTTTGAATTTGAAATAAGAGTGGACTGTTTCGCCCCAGTCTGGACAAATTGGAGATCATGTTTGATCCGACTCCCTTTTCTATTTCCATCACTTTTACATTTTAGGGTTAGGGGTTTAAGATTAAAACCAATGAGTAATACAAAATCTTCAACAACAATGAAATATTGAGACACAAAAATAGGAGTCACATCACATATGAATGCCCACTAAATCCCAGTTTCATTTCACACAAAAACTGCACGATTCAACCAGGATTAATAACTACCAGGCCTATCCAGCAACCACGAAAATTGTTCCATTGAATTAAAAAAAAAAAGAAGACAATGATGAATTTTAATGAAATGTTTAAGATGCAGTTCCATTTTGGGGGTTTTATTATAGGTTAAAAATTAATCTTTGTAATGGGTTTAATCTCCATAGCAGTCAGTGGTATTAAATTTATTTTATAATGTAAGGGAGGGAACTCTTTTTTAAACGTGATTTCAGGTTCTTCAATGTTGTGAAACTTAAATGGTATACTTTTATTTGTAAACATTTGATAGGAGCGGAAATTACACTGAAATAGTTTACATTTATTGTTGGTTCGAGGCGGTTTAACACCTTTATCCAAGAAGGAAGTGTGGAGGACATAATAAGCTGAAAGCTGTTTATCGGGAGAGGTCAACGAAGATCATAGGAGATGGGCCTGATTGTATCATTTTTCAGTGCAGTTTTTGAGAAATTAGGCCTATTCCAAAAAAATGTTAAAAAGTTTGTTATTAATTGTATATCATTTTGAGTAATCACCAGGTATGGTGACAGGTACAATGAAAACCATATAAAAAGAGGCCCACTTTAAAGGAGCTAAATCGCTAATATTTGGGACCTAGAAATTGACACAAATGGGTCGCAATGTAATAATGTAATATGAATGAGACCTCTAAACTGATTTACATCCAATCGTTTCAGTTTTTACTCTAATTTCAAATCAGTTATGTTCGGCAAAATACGTCAGAAGTCTCAATCGAATGGTAATCTCTAGCGTCTGGTTATTCCAGCGTATGCTCTCCAGATAAGAATATGCCGTTACTGTTTGACGTGACGTGTGAAATATGTCTAACCTCGTTCTTCGAGTCCCTTGTTAGAAATAGGTCTGAAGCGCATTATGGTACACGATTCATGTACCAATGGTAAAATGTTTATTTTGTCTTAAATATTGGACATCAGAAGACCATCTTTTCCCAGTAAGATCACAACATCAATGTTGATTTAAATTGACCAATGATTCGTGTTTTCAATGTCGAAGACTTTGGATGATATCGAGTTAGAGACTTACTTAGCTACTTTAAGAGGCAGTAGCCCTGAGTAGCATGGTGGGTTTACCCAAAACTCAACTCATTCATAATCAATCACACACAATATAATTTATAAATCGATTTTTGATAATTTTTAATTTAATTTACCTTTCTTTATTCAAAATTGTCATTTAATTTAAAATTGTAGCATTCTGGTTCCTGCCTTTTATGCAAATTGTGAAATATGTTCAAAGTTTGTGGACACTCACATAGATGAAACTTGAAATATATGTTAATATATCTTGGATGAGTGTGATTTTGGTGTGCATCGGTCAGTATAACCTCCTGGGTTATGGCCCCTGCTTTTTACACAAAATGTGTAACCAAGTTTTTGAACTTTCTAGGTCACAATTTTTACAAGTTGAGATATGTGATTATTTTGATTAGATTATTTTATTACCTATTTATTTATTTGTTGTTTTTCTGCCAGGAGCAAGTATGAAGTGGATGATGGAGTAACTATATTCGATACTGGATTAAGTCCACCGGCAAGAAGAGTTCGGATAACTTTACTAGAAAAACAGATACCATTTAAAAAGGTATTATTAATTCTGGAAAAGGACCATAATTATGGAAGGGTATCGCTGCCAATATTAAATGCTCTGCGACAATGTCGTTTCCTTTGATTATATGTAAAAAGTACAATGTACAAAGTCCTAATACCGATATTGATAAAGTCAAAATACCTCTAAGGCAGTGATGGGATTTCAAAAAATTCCTTGTCGGACATTTTTTCCCGAAAGTAAAGGGGCATAACTCTTATCGTAATTTAAGCAGACGTTTTCAAAACACAATTAAGAATCACGTGTCAACAAAATATATTCAAATTCATATGTAAAATAAAATAGGTGCACCCCGTTATATTTCATGTTTAAAACCCGTACGGTATTCAAATTTATGTCAATAATATTCCTACAAAATTACATGACATCGTAATACTATAAAATGGCAGCGTGCTGACTGCTGCCGATCTGTTTCAAACTCCCCCAAAATTACCGTATTTTTCGGGTCATACGTCGGTACATTTTTCAGCAAAGTCCAACATTCGTCTGATACTCCGTTTCGATTTATATACGGAAGGTAAAAAAATGACATCCCGAAATTTATTTGGCCGTAAACCATAGTTAATTATGCTCTAATACAACGAGCGAGTGACACCAACTGCTAAATAATTGCATTCGACTGTAGCACGCGCTATCGTCTAAAACAATTAACTACTTACGTCATTCCAATGGAAATATTCGTCAACATTTCTTAGCGTGTTTATTTATTTATTTATTTAAAGACATAAACCCCATTCAAAATATGATCATAAATCCGACAATATGCCATCAAAATAGAATCTTTTCTCGGATATCGGGCGTTTTGCAGTCGGCACGTACACATCTCTTAATTTCACGTGTCTCGCGAGATTTGTAATTTCATTTTAATTACTAAACTATATAAGCGCCATTTGCGTGTGTGTGAAATATCTTTATTTAACTTCGGCTGCCACCAAAAATATATGACAGACAAGTTATCGGATACAATGTATGTTGATTTGAGGTGTTATATGTTATCAGGATATGTGACATATATATGACTAATTTCTACGTGTTATTGTCCGACACAAAGGAGATTAAAACGTGGGACAATGGATAAATCACGGGTTAATCAGATTAAGTTTATAATCACTCTTATTGGATTGATATATCGTCCGACAAAGGAGAAGCAATGACTTCTGTTCAGGATTGATTTGATGAATTGTCCAATAAAGAATTAAGTGAGCCAATCAAGGCAGAATAAGTAGTTAATCAAGGTAGGTGTGTAGACGATAAGTAGTCGATCACTTAATTACCCAATCAATCCAGCCTATTCTCAATGATAATCGGGTTGCACTGTAGTTATACACTCAGTACACTATATTAATTTTGGAATTTGAATAATATTCACCATGTCTTGATGTCCGATTGGGCATATTCCTTCTCGGACAATTTTGGGCGTTTCGAAAAAAGATTCGGACAAGTCCGGAATATACGGGTAAAATCCCATCACTGCTCTAAGGCAAGAGTTAAATGTAACATTTGACGTTTTAAATTTAACTCTTGCCTTAGAGGTATTTTGACATTATCATTACCGGTATTATGACTTTGTACATTGTACTTTTTACATATCATCAATAGAAAAGACATTGTAGCAGAGCACTTAATATTGGCAGCAATACCCTTCCATACATAATAAGTCAAAATAAAGATAAATTAATGTTTTATATACGCTCTTATTTTATTTAAAAACTGTTTAAAAAAAATGAAGTTACGTTTAATTTCAGAAACTTCAATAATTACTTTTAAATTCATTTATTTTTAACCAGATTGCATTGATATTTTAAGGACATTTACGGTATATTGTGGCTTCCAAAGTAACCAAATCTTGCAATAGCAATACTGTACAGTGTAGTATATATTTGTGTCACATTATGGATGACAAGGGCTGTCACAAGTACATGTATTCTAGCTATAATTGTCTGTGAACTATTTCTGATATTTTTTTTAGGTTGATATCAACTTGTTAGCTGGAGAACAGTATAATGAAGAGTATGGTTTTGTTAATCCAAACAAAAAAGTTCCTGCTGTTGCTTTTAAAAATTTCAAGGTTTGTACTGTAACATACAGTTGTACCTAAAAATGCATATTGATATAAAGTCTGTCATTGAGTCGACTGGCGTGGTTTCGAATCCCCGGTTGTACGTGGCAAGGAGTAGGGTCGCCTGTCCAACCTCGTGGGTTTTCTCCGGGGCCTCCGGTTTCCTCCCACTGCTAAAGACCCCTACGCGCAAGCGAATTATGTAAATAAAAATTAAACCATATGTTAGTCCCGAAATGACCTAGTTTGTGTCGAGTGGACGTTAAACCCCATTTCTCTCTCTCTCTCATATTGATATATAATGTATTATAGTTTAAAACCCCTAATGTCATTTGAGGGATTTTGATTCCCTTTGCGAAGTTTGATATTATGAAAGTTGAATCTCTAAAGTAAAAGTAATTTCAGTCCAAAAATGGGTTAATTCCCTTTAGTATTTATATACAGACGGTATAAACAAGCCAGCATCACTTATAAGTGTTGGATGAAATCTTTTGATGTGCCAGCACATCTTTATCTGATTGAATCCAAGCCTATTCCTAATCTGATTGAATCCAAGCCTATTGTTGATAGTTTATTTAAATGCTAAATAATCAATTGGAGCACACTTTATATATTGTCCAACTTTATTAAGAAATTAATCCACCATAAAACATTGTAATAGTGCTTCATTATGGCTCTGTTTGGAGCCATGTTGACACTGGTCTTATTGACTGAAACCTGTTTAATGAGCGACATCTTGGAGGTCCCACTACATTTCGTTCTTAAATCAGCAACTGTTTATCTATTCTTTACCTACATAGAGAATTTATTTATTTTACTAAACTAAGGGGACGGTCGAGTGGTCCGGTGCATACACTTTCGATCATTAAGTATTTCATCGAGTCTGCTGGCTTGGTTTTAATTCCAATCTTGGATGGGACAAGGAGTATGGTTGCCTACCCAACTGCATGAGTTTTATACAGGTCCTCTAGTTTCCCCCCACTGTTAGTCCTAAAATGTCCTAGTTTGTGTGAAGTGGACATTAAAACTAGAATTCTTTTTCTTTGTTGTTCTAGGGAATACCAGATGGATTTTATTTTGAATCAAATGTTATTAGTGAACTATTAGACACTGTCGGCACTGGTACCAAGTTATATCCTACAGATAAAAAGGAGAGAGCTGAGATCCGAATGTGGCAAGATTACGAACTTGGCATGGTTGATGTAATTATTATTAATATTTATATTATTGTATTGTGAAAATTGAAATTTGTTATTTTAGTTCCAGGCAGTTTACTACAATGTTTTGATGATTTTCGAGGGTTTAGGGATCTTTGACTGTCATTAAATTCATAGGTACTTATAAAATCTCTTTCAAAAATAACATTAAACTGAGATGATGTATTATGTCAAAAGTCTATTATGTTCATCTTCATAAGTGAGATTATCAAATTCAGAGGCAAATAATTTAAACAAGTTTATCAAATTCAGAGGCAAATAACTTACCGGTAACTGAGATTATCAAATTCAGAGGCAAATACCTTAAGACATAATACTTATTAGCAGCCTCAGTTTAATATTATTTTTGAAGGAGATTTGCAATGTGACATGCACCGGTGGCTACATGTATATCTAATCCTTACCTATTATCAAATCTGGACACTTAACAGGGTCAATGTTCATACAAGAATAAAAACATCTTTGTTTTCTGTTAAAGATGCCTTATGTAAGTGCTAAATTTGCCTATTGCCGGTCTTTATTTTGGCTTCAAATATTATATAAACTATTATTTAGACATTTATTCCCATGACAAGCCTATAATCAACTCTCTAGATCATTGGATGACCATGATTTACATGGATTAGAATACCTGCAAGATTTAAAAGTTACGCTACATCTTCAAACAGTCATAACTTCACTCAGAATAATTTCAATGAAATTTTCAAAATATTTGTTTTTCATATTTTCATTATATATTATAGCGAGAACAGTTAGCTCTTTGTCTAAATCTTACATAATGCATCTTTAATTTTACATGTATGCAGGCATTGAACTCTTCTGTCCTATTGTTATTCATGATGATATTTTATTTATGACTTTTCATAAAATTGGTGCACAGATATGTATTTATGAAATTGGTTGTCACATCTTCATTATAATATGTTTAGGAAAATGTCATCAATTTATTTTTTTAAGGATTTTGTGCCTGTTGCTTATTACAATCTACTAGGTTTTGTCTGTCGAACGATGCATGCAGATTCAGAGGAATTGAAGGAGAACATCGACAAAAACACCCCAGAAGCCGCAAAAGAAAGATTTGCTGCGTAAGTCAGTTTGGAGCCAAAAGCTGTAACCATTATTATTATATAATCTTTGTGTGGCATTTACCGATCGGTAAACACATTAACAGAACACAGTTTTTATGGAATAAATGTGCTTGATAACAATAAGAGGATACTTGTCGAAAGATTGTGCTTTTAGAATAAAACTAGTGATTGTATCCCATAAATATTATTATTATTATAACCAGTTAGAGACGCACAGTTAAAGATGAGCTAGACTGTCGGTTACAACATTGTTATTGGCCGATAATTGATAGTCGAGAAAGTTCATCAGGACTTCCCCATAAAAAAAAAACTTAAGCATGTCTGCCTAAAATTAGCTCCGCTTGATAAAGTGGACCGACTTTTTAATTCCTACATCAACAATTTTAGTCGAAAACATTAAGTATACCTCTAGAATTTTGAGATATTTATTCTGCTTCAATAAAAAATGTTTAATCAGTCTTTGTGTGCTTGAAACATGTATAACGAATTAGAACCCCATTACGAAATAGTATACTAATTTTTTAATATGGCCGCTATTATGAACAGAGATCTATTCTCAAAGTAAATAGTTATCTTTGTTCAGAATGTGATTTTCCAGCCCTTGTTTTCCCTTGTCTGTGGCATGGAAAGGAAAGCCTAGCAAGAAAAAGTGTGTATCCATTCAAATGGGATTAAAAACCAAAGTTGTATGTGTAGGCCTACCATTGGCAACATGTTAAACATCCCATTACATTTGGAATTTGAAATGTGAGTAGAGTATCGCTAAAGTTTCCCTCATAGCTTTCCTCATAGTACACTGTGTGGTGGTGTGTGCCAGTCTTCCTTAATCTGGTTGATTTAGAGAGAGAGAGAAATGGGGTTTAACGTCCACTTGACACAAAATAGGTCATTTTGGGACTAAGACATGGTTTAATTTTATTTCAATAATTCGCTAGTGCATAGAGGTCTTTAGCAGTGGGAGGAAACCGGAGGACCCAGAGAAAACCAACGAGGTTGGACAGGTGACCCTACTCCTTGTTACATACAACCAGGGAATCGAAACCACGCCAGTTGACTCAATGACATATCTTATGATACATTCGGCCATCAAACCCCCCCATTTAGAGAAATATGATGTTACACCACATTATAATGGGGTATTTTGTTTTAATAATACCATTACAGTGCTCTGAATTATGATGATTTCGGAAAAATTAATGAAACTATATATGTGTTCCAGTTCTACTCACTCTTTCTGGAATTCCTACACACATAGCTGTTATTGCTAATGATAGGCATGAACTATTTTTTTCTGCAGCATGTATAATGGAGTTGGTAAAACAGAAAAAGATTTATATGAGCATGCTATAGCTTCTTACCAAAATTTACTCACGTTTGAACGAGGTTTAAATGGTAAACAATATTTGGTGAGTATTGAGTTTATCTTCAAGGATATGGTATCCAAGATTTCTGGGTTGTTGTTTTTGCATCGCTTCGTGATATAATTTGAATGTGATGCCACATGATTGTATATAAATTTTGAAACATGTGTTACATGGGAAAATTTGTGACAGATGTCATTGGATATGGTCAGACTTTTCAAGCAAAACTCAGATCTCTAAAATCCCATAATATAATCACTTCCATAGAGTAATGAACCTGCTCTGAAAATCTTTAATTCATTTCTTGAGAACAAGTTATACTAGCTAAGTGCACAAAGAGACATAATGCCTAAAGGTTATTATTATGAACAGCTTCACACTTTAAAAAATAAAATTACTGGCTACTTATACATTGTCACCTATTAATGATATGATGTACAATATGAATTGACACGGATCACAGCTGAGGTCAAATAATTAACCAAATGTTGGGACACCTTATAAAATCATTTTACTCACAGACTACTTAATTGATTTATTTTATTTGCAGTTTAAATTTATGTGGAAACTGAATGTGTTTCGATTTTAGCAAAATAGACAAAAACCCACATCCACATGAAAAGCCCACATCTTTTGCTGCATTCAAATCTTTAATATCATTTCTCTTGATTTTTAGGTGGGGGATCGATTCACTGCAGCTGATATTTCTGTGTTTCCAAGAATTCATATGTTTCCTTTGGTGGGAATGCCCATTACTCAAGAGCATTTTCCCAATGTGTATGCCTGGATTCAGCGTATCTACAGTCGCCCTTCTGTGTCAAGTAGTGAAGATTTTCCAACAAAAATAACTCGCTTTGTGATTACATCTTTAACTTCAGTTTTTGTTTTGATTGGTAATGTGAAGAGCGGCCAGAAACATCACAAAAGGATAGATGGTACTAAAGTCATTGATAAGTATGTCCATTCTGTTCTAAAGCAGATGGTGGGGTCGAGTAGTCTAGATTATAAGGTCTCACATTGAGTCAAGTGGCATGGTTTTGATTCCAGGCCTGTATGTGACAAAGAGTAGGGTTCGACTGCCCATGCTTATGAATTTTCTCTGTGTCCTCTACTTTCGTACCTACCCCCAAGTCAACTATTGAAATAACCTTCTTGGGCTTTGCTAGTTTCCTTTCATTGTTAAACAAACTCTTCCTAAAGTGGAATTTAAAAATTTTCTACCATGTTCAATCAGAAATCAAAGATTATGTAGAAAGAATTTTGAATCAAATTTTTCTATCTTCATTTACATTTAACTGTTGTTTTAAATTCATTTTACTTCTTACAAATTTTCAGACAAACTGTTTTAAAATCTCCAATATTTCTTGTTAATTTTACAGAGCTGTGAATGAAGCTCCAGTTGTCACTGAATCGAAACTACCACAAGAAGCACTTGATAATCCAAACGTTGTCGTAGATGATTATCCAGTCTCATCAGATTGCCTTCAGATAAAACTACTATTACAAGAGCTGGTAAGAAAGTATATGAAAAGATTTATGTGGAGATAATTTGAAATATATCATTCATTTCTTTTGAAATTGTATTCTGTAAATAATGTAGTCATTTGCTCCGTTCAATTAGGATTGTTCTAAAGCAGTTGACAGTTGCTCCAAAGGTGAAAGTGAGCCATAGATGTGTAAAATATAGTATGTACATGGGGATTAATTCTGCAGTGGCCATTAGAGTGCAGCAGATAACGGCATAATATCAGGGAAATTTTTCAAATGTGGATACTCTCTGGGGACTTAGCTATTCAAAATCCAAGATGGTAGCCATTTTCAAGATGGCTGACATTTGTGCAACAATATATCATTTTTGCGACAAAATCACACCAAATTGTCCTAATTAATTAATCCTATATTAACATGTATTTTCGACTCCAGAGGGTCCACAAATTTTGTACAATCTATATTTATTTTGGAATGATGTCTCTTTAACTTACAGAATGTAAAATATGAAACAAGAAATTGTCATATTTTAAATCTGATTGGTCGAGCTGCAGGTTCAGGAGGAATATTCACCATATACCACAATAACCAACCAATCAAAGGTATGCGAGGTATAACAGAATATATCTGTAGTCTGGGTACTAAAACAGGTAAGTTAATTTCTATTTGTTTATTTTCCTCCTGGGGTGTTGGATGGCCGAATGGTTAGCACGTGCACGGTGTATCATAAGGTCTGTCATTGAGTCAACTGGCATGCTTTCGATTACCTGGTTGTACAGGAGTAGGGTCGCCTGTCCAACCTCGTGGGTTTTCTCCAGGTCCTCCGTCTTCCTTCCACTGCTAAAGACCCCAGAAAATTATTGAAATAAAATTGAACCATGTGTTAGTCCCAAAATGACCTATTTTTTGTTGAGTGGACGATAAACCCCATTTTTTCTCTCTATTTTCCTCCTCTATAGAGTCAAACCTGTGTTTGTTTATACATTCCTGGCTTTATTAAATTGGCCCTAATAAAGACAGAGAGAAATGGGGTTTAACATCCACTCGATATAAACTAGGTCATTTTGGGACTAACATATTGCTCAATTTTATTTCAACAATTCGCTTGCGTGTAGGATTAAACATGCAAGTTTGGACAAGTCCCTACTCCATGTCACGTACTAGCAGAGAATCGACAATATGCCACTTGACTCAATGACAGACCTTATGATCTAAAGAGCATGATTTCAACCATTCAGAGACCCGACCCCCGTGACTGTAATAAAAGCTGAACTTTATTCCGCCATTGTTCACCTTCAAAATGGCCATTTCTCAAGTGGTAACACATCGAGTTTTAGCATGTACATTATCAGCAGTAGCTTGTATTAGTCTATAAATAGCCATCACATGTCATAGTAGTCACTGCTGAACAGAAAACACATATTCTTACAAGAGAAAGCAAAGCCATTAAATAATAATTATTTTTTCCTTTTTGTACGTCCACATTTCAATGTGGACGTATATTGCCATCATCCACAATTTCTTGTGAACGCTCTAACGGCAAAAATTATCATCCATTTGTTTTAAAATTGATATATGTTGTTTACATTAGTGAGATGAAGAAGCCTATTTAATTTCAATAATTTTCGTTTATTACAACTAGAGTTATGGCCCTTGTTTCACTTTGTTGTCCTTGTGAACGCTCTAACGCCAAAAGTTATCACCCAATCTTTGTGAAATTTATATGCATGATTTAAATTAGTAAAACGAAAAAGCATATTGAATTTCAGCAATTTCCGTTTATTACGTCTAAAGTTATGGCCCTTGTTGCACCATGGGAACGCTCTGCTGATCTGTATGAAATTTACATGTGGCATTTAAATTAGTCAAGAGAAGAATCCTATTGAATTTCAGCAATTTCCATTTATTACTTCTAGAGTTATGACCATTGTTTGACTCTGTTTCATTTTGGGAACGCTCTAAACTCTGAAGTTAACTGCTGATCTGTATGAAATTTATATGTGCCATTTAAGTTAGTAAAAAGAACAATCCTATTGAATTTCAGCAATTTCCGTTTATTACGTCTAGAATTGTGGCTCTTTTCACTTTATTGAACCTTGTGAATGCTCCAACGACGAAGCCTATTGAATTTCAGCAATTTACAATAATTACTTCTAAATATGGCCCTTGTTTCACTTTGTTAAAACTTGTTGATGCTCGATTGATGAAAGTTATCATCCGATATGTATGAAATTTATATGCATCATTTAAATTTGTGAAACAGAGGACTGTTGAATTTCAGCAATTTCGGTCAATAATTTCTAGAGTTATGGCGATTGTGAACCTTGTGAACGTTTGAATGACAAAAGTTATCATGTGATCTGTATGAAATTTATATTCATTATTTAAATTAGTAAAACGAAAAAGCCTGTCAAATTTCAACAATTTCTGTAGATTACTTCCAGAGTTGAGACCCTTGTTTCAGTTTGTAGAACCTTGTGGACCCTCAAACGACAAAATTTATAATCAGATCTGTAGGAAACGGTCTTGTAAAGGCCCCCAATTACCTACAAAGGAATAAATATGCGACAACCCTTGTCGACCGCTTGGACGAGTTAGCTGCTGTGGGCTTATGTTTCGTTGCCTGGCAACCTATCTTTTATTTTTTTTGCAGACTTACTACCATCTGAACCATCTGTTAAATGTAAAATACAGAGTTGGCAGGCGTGGGAACAAACCATGTATATCCAGGAGTTATATCCCTTGATCGAAGTAGATATCTACTCGAAGATATTAGTATATAGATATGAACAGAAATTAGATGAGTTGTTAAATTTGCGAAGCCAGTCAGAATATCAGACGAAATTTACAAGCATTTTAAAATGTTTTATGGCAGGGTAAGATTCCAACCCCAGAACTGGATATTAACATTGATGTTTTTGAGGTCATTCTCGATACACTTAGCCAATTGTTTATAAAAGGGCGGGGCAATAACAGATGTAATTCGGATCATAAGGCCAGTTATCTATGCAAGTATAATGGATTCAATCCGGTGCTTGAATGTGCAAGTGGGGTGGGTGGCCGATTGGTTTAAAATGTGCGCTTTAGATCATAAGGTCTATCATTGAGTCAAGTGGCGTGGTTTTCGATTCCCAGCTTGTACGTGACCAGGAGTTCGGGCTGTCTGTTCATACTTGTGGGTTTTCTGTGGGTACTCCTGTTTTCTCTTACTGCTAATAAAGACCCCAGCTTGCTAGCGAGTTATTGAAATAAAATTGTACCATATGTTAGTTCCCGAAATGACCTAGTTTGTGTTGAGTGGATGTGAAACCCCATTTCTCTCTCTATCTCAATTCAAACTGTATTGAGTTTATCAGGTTTTATTCCAAGTTATAAAAATACCCATATGACCAGGTTAATGTTGAGTCGATGTTAAACTATCTCTATTATTCAATATTATTTCTTCTCAGATTGTCAAAGGACAGTGATTGTTTGGAGAAACTGAAAGAAGAGTATGGTCATTTGATAGAAGAGCCACAAACATTGAAGAAACGGAGGGAGGGTTTTTACGAGCTGTTACATGGTCGATTACAACACTTAGATAATACATTGATGGTAAGTTAACCAATAGCAACAATAATAATTCTTATCTTTATTTTACTTCATCTTTCCAAGTCCTTTAATTTGTTATTGTTAAAATATCTACCGGTACACCTGGAATTCATACAAAAGCTTCGAAGGCGCGCGATAGATGCACAATCCGGTGGTACTTTTTACCGCCGACTACCGCCGACTTAATGCTTTTTACCGCCGACCGTCGTGTAATTACCGCCGACCAAATACTTGTTACCCCCAACCAAATGCTTAATGATTCCTTGTTACCGCCGACTATTTTACGGTTGTTTTTTTTTATAAAAAATAATACAACACGAATGTTATTTTTTATTTGAGGTGTAATCACGTACAACTGTCGAAAAACATTCATATATATTTTAAATGAAATGAAATGAAATGAAATGGAGTTTAACGTCCTACTGTTCTGCTCCTAACCTGGGCTAATGAAGACGGGCATACGCCATACAATGTGCTATGAGGGAAATTTTGCCCGGACAGCGGCACTACGGCCTACTCTTTTATCGAATTCCAACTGCCAAGGGATCTTTTACGTGCACGTCAATGTGTACACGGGACCTCGGTTTTTCATCCCATCCGAACGACTAGACAGCTTTCCTTGTCGGGCCCTCCGTCCTGCATCACTGACAAGGGGAAACCACGCGGGAAAATCTGGATGAACATATATATTTTAAAGAATGTTGAAGGACAAAACTACAATTTAGATATTGAAGGGCAAATATATCAAGATTGTTTCAGCTACTGGTTATAAAAAAATAACATTTTAGGCCTATCTTCTATTAGTGCGAGGGTTAGGGTTAGGGTTGTCGACCATATTTATATATAATAAAATCTATATTTTTTATCAAACTCTGTGTATTTAACCAAATCTATTTTTTTGTCACTAATAATTTAATTAATTTTATATAGTCGGCGGTAACAAGGAATCATTAAGCATTTAGTCCGCGGTAACAAGTATTTGGTCGGCGGTAATTATATTACGATCGAAAGTCATTACAGTGCGGTCGACGGTAAAAAGTATTTGGTCGGCGGTAATTTCACGACGGTCGGCGGTAAAAGTATTGGTCGGCGGTAGTCGGTGGTGGTCGGCGGTAAAAAGTACCACCCTGCACAATCCATGCCGAGATCGCCTTCCTTTGATTGCCACGTGGCGGTTAGTGTTAAGAATAATCAGCAAGCTTGTTTTATTTTTTTTTTTACCGGCCGATTATCAAAATTATGAAATGATTCCGATTCCATACTTTTGATTTAGCTTTATCGTTTTTTTACAACCTCAAATTCCGCCATTTTTAAACAAATCAGAATGCACGATTAACCAGTTATATTTCCGCGATTCTCATGAACGAAGGAACTGTCTGGACTGGACTGATCGAGAAACAAATACCGACTGACTTTTAATAAAAACACAATTTTGAACAAGTATTTTGGAAGTAAATATTCAACAAATACGAGAGAACTATTTAGGAATTTGTGCCATTTAACTTTTGCTATTACAAACTATCGAAACAATCGATAGTTTGGTTGACTATCGCAATTTTTATCGATAGTTTCTTTTTACTATCGATACAGACTATCGGCAGTCAAGTTATTGCGATGCATCGATTGTTCGATGTATCGTTACACCCCTAGTTTCGATCTCACGGTTCATTTGTCCAACCCCTCCGGTTACCTACCACTGCAAGTAGGAGTAGTGTGACCTGCCCAAACTAATGTGTTTTCTCTGACTTTCGAATAATAAAGAGAGAGTTTGGAATTCTAACATGGAGAATGGTTATTTTTCTTTTTCACCCATATGTGACTGGTAACACCCCAGGATCCAAGGATCCGAATATTTAAACACACCAAACGAATTATGTGTATCGAAATAATATTTAACATGTGTCCGGTGGAGAATAAAAATCCCTCTCCCTCCCTCTCCATCTCTCTGTCTCTTGTTCACGGACATTAACAAACGATTGGTTCTATATATCCGAACTACATAAAAATATATTTATTTCACAAAACATATCCTTCACGACACACTAAGGAAACCTTTTTGACAATCTACAAATTTTAATACAGCTTCCATTATGTACATGTAGTTGATTTCCTAGAGAGGTCTAATGGGTTGATATGAAAACATTCAGTTGATAAATAGATCATATTTGTTACCATTAATGCTGGCATACATACTTTTACAAGCTCAAATTTTCCTGTCAACAAAATCTCCAACTCAAAAGAGTGATCTCCCTTTTATTATTGACAGCTTACTAGATTTTCATAACAATGGACAAACACTGAGTAAGACCATTCTCCAACACTCTTATGCATTTATTTTCTGTTTATTGTTTATTTCAGCATCAGGATTATTTAGTTGGTAATGATGTAACAATGGCTGATATCTGTGTGTTCTCCAGATTGATGTTCTTCTCATATGTTGGTATGAAAATATCCTCACAGAAATATCCAAACCTCTCTACATGGATATTAAAGATGCAGTCTTACAAACATGTTGCTGTTTTGTTGGACGATATCAACAAACCGATAACCTCATTATCACAGTGATCTCCCCTTATGGAGGCAGACCACTATTAAATTTCACCATCTGGGTACCCACAAATTGTTGTTCGTTTATTTATAGCAACTCTCTCTCTCTCTCTCTCTCTCTCTCTCATGGCTATTTTTGTTAATTTTTTGGTCTAGATTGAAAGAAGTGGGTTTGAATAAGCATTTTCTGCCAGGTTTTGGTAAATATTCTTGATTTAGAGGTGGAAGGATAACTGAGTTATGTACAGTGGATAGTTACATATTTTTTTGTATGTTACTTAGTTTGTGTATCTCAAAATTTCATTGGTGGCCCTTATACATAATCTTGAGCAAAGACATGACCAATTTATTGCTCTGTCTATATTGAAAAGCATTCAGCCCAACAAAAATTTGAGGAAAATTTTCAGCCAGACAGAGACCAGAATTAACATTGAAGACAAATTGAAATTAACGGTGGTCTGCCTCCTTATAACCAATTGCAGTGATCTCCCCTTATAAGCGCTGTTGTTTAGGGGTTTTGATTCATCTTCTGGCATTTTTTTTGTTTTGTTTTTTTTTGTGAAAAGGCAGAACTCCTATTCTGATCTATAATAACTAAGCAATGCATTGCATTTTGTTTATGTTAGATAGCTTTGTTAATGCTTACATTATTATTTTTTAATAGTATGGATAGTTTATATATAAATAAATATATTAAATATATTTTACCCTTGTAATATATTTATTCTTCACACTGTATATATTTTTTTTATATATAATTTGTTATACCGGTATTTTTTCTAAATGTTTAATATTGTTAAATGGAATAAACTAGCTGATCATCACTTACACCTTTTTTTGAACAGTATCTAATTGTTCCACATCTTTATATATGCTAAAATATACTCAGTTTGATTATTTAACGTTTAAATAAGAACATAAAATCCAAACACCAACAGCATGAATTTAATGAGATTAAAAAGGGGACCATCAGTGGTTTACCCTACACTGCAGGCATGTTTACATCATTTATATTTATTTGCATTTCTGAAATGGCCAGTAATACTTGTTAACATTTACATTCTATTTTGTCTACTTTTGTACATTTACTTAATATATTTTACTTGCTTATCTACAACAGGGGCTGGGTTGTCAGTGGCATGCAGGGACTGGGGTCAAAGAATCTTAGGCGTTCATTTCATGGAGGCATCCACAAGTAGTTTTATCCTTTTCTTCCCTTACAGGAAATGGCCAGGAAAGCATAATGACCATTCTGGGACAGAGTACTGTATCCAGCAAATCAGTTGACACCGCCTCATTTTAGAAACCTATCCCGGTCATTGAATGAATTATATATTGCATGTTAATTTTTCAATTTAAACTGTAATAAAATATATATTTTTCTAAAATCAGTATTGTTGTCTCCCCTGTCAGTCATTTTGTACACAAGCAAACATAGAAATTTTAGAGATAACTGGATCAAAGGAGTTTAGTTACGTCATACAGGGGTAAACTGTGTAAATTGTGCAGTACTGCATGTTAAAATACAGACTACATATACACCCATTGATTACCCCAGATACTTGGTGACTATTGACTTCAACACTTAGCTACGTTGAGATATACTGATGTGCTTGTTTTTAGCTACGATTGGATGGATGCCTTTAGTTCCAAGTGGCAAACTCAATTCCTTTATTAATGCATGTAACATCTTAAAAATAAGATAATTATCCCCCGCCTTTCGAAGAAAGCAGGGGACTATTAAAATGGGTTCGTCCGTTTGTCTGTCCGTCACACTTTTTGGGACACAATAACTCTCTTTAAGAGCTAGAATGTTCAAACTTGGTGTAGGTGTTTATTAGGTCAATGCCTTGATGGAGTTCGAAGATGAGCATTTTCTGCTTAGGGTAAGCAGAGATAAGCAATTTGATTGGTTAATGCTTTGGGACATGATAACTTTAGTTCTAATTAAGTGAGAGTGATGAAACTTGGTGTATAGCTTCATTACATCAATACCTTGACTAAGCTCGATAATGAGCATTTTCTGCTCAGGGTAAGCAGAGCGATAAAAAATGATTGGATGAGACTTTGAAACACAATAACTCTTCTTCTAATTGAGCTAGAACTTTCAAACTCAGGTCAATGTTTTGATGGAGTTCGAAGATGAGCATTTTGTGCTTAGGTTAAGCAGAGATAAGCAATTTGATTGGTCGAGACTTTGGAACACAATAACTCTAATTCTAATTGAGTTATAATGTTCACGCTTAGCGTAGGTGTCTATTAGGTGGATGCCTTGATGAAGTTCGAAGATAAGAATTTTCTGCTTAATTTCATTGGTTGATGCTTTGGGACACGATACGACGGGTGATTGATAAGTAGTGAGTCTAACACAGAAAGAAACAAGAAATTCAAATCAAATGCATTTATTTTTCAACATAGCCCCCCTTCAATGTAATACACTTCTGCCATCGGTGTTGCAGAGCCTTTATTCCAGTTCTGTAGAAGTCTTTGTCTTGGGTGTGTAGGAAATCATCCACAGCGGCAATGACGTCATCGTCAGACGGGAAATGCCTACCGGAAAGACATTTCTTCAGAGCAGGAAACAGATAGAAGTCTGAGGGAGCTAAATCAGGAGAGTAGGGTGGATGCTGAAGAAGTTGAAAACCACAGTCATGGATTGCTGACATGGCAACAGCTGATTTGTGCACTGCCGCATTGTCCGGTGGAAAATCACACCTTTGGTCAGCTTTCCTCGTCTTTTGGTCTTAATTTCTTTGCCTCAACTGCCTTATAAGTGCTGCATAGTATCTACCGTTAATTGTTTGACACTTTTGGAGGTAATCCACCATGAGAACACCCTCAGAATCCCAGAATACTGAGGCCATCACCTTTCCTGCCGATGAAACAGTCCTTGCCTTCTTTGGGGTCGGCGACGTCACATGTTTCCACTGTTTAGACCGCTCTTTTGTTTCTGGCTGAAAGTGGTGGACCCAAGTTTCATCCATATTAATTTGTTTTAGGAAGCGGTCAGGATCGGTTTCAAGTAAGGCTAGATTCTCTTCTGACATGATGTGTCTTGAACGCTTTTGATCAGGCGTCAAAAGCTTTGGCACCCATCGTGCTGAAACCTTTGTCATTTCCAAAGTTTCAGTGATAATAGAATGAACCCTCTCCTGGCTAATACCAACTACCCCAGCTATGAATCGTTCAGTAACTCGCCGGTCATTCATTATCAGATCATGGATTTTTTGTACCATTTCAGGTGTTGACACAGTTTTTGGTCGACCAGGGCGTGGTTCGTCTTCAATGCTGTCTCAGCCACGCTTGAATTCAGCTGACCAACTTTTAATCGTGGCATTGGAAGGAGCATCATCTCCTAATGTCTCAACCATATCATCATGTATGGCTTTCGGTGTTGGACCCTTTTTATGCAGATACTTAATCACTGTTGGCTTGTTTTATTACGCCAATGTAGTGGCACAACTATCGCCTGACTCAAAATATTTGCTTTTAAATTAATGAAGCGTTGTTTTTATCCGATATACACCGTGATACATTTCCAGTTTAAACATGGCGTTCCTAATAACTGCTTAACGCCTAGATTTTAAATACGATAATTTATACGGCAGTGTGAAGTTGAATCGTTTTTCGTTATTCGTTATTTGTTATATTCACCAATAACGAATAACAAATAACGGGGTGACTTGCCTCGTTATTGGCGAATAACGAGGTAAAAGCTACCCCTTTATTCGTTATTCAACTTTATATTCGGGATTCCAATATGCAGCTAGCCATTACTAGAATGATGGATGTCAATTATCCCCCAGTAGTATAAAACACAGCAAAACGACCTCTAGACGAAAAACAGTCCACACTGTTATCCAAGCAGCAAATAAAGAGCTGTTTTTTATTCGTTTTTCACCTCGTTATTTGGGATTCACATATGAAGGTGTTCATGTATCTTTAATGAGGATATTTCAGGATTTAATTCGAAACGATCACTAGGCAGCAATAGAATAATGGATTGCAAAGTATCCCCTAGCAGTAGAAAACATATTAAATGACGTATAGTCGGTAAATAAACCAAATTTTTATTCAAGCGAGAGAGAGAGAGAGAGAGAGAAATGGGGTTTAACGTCCACTCGACACAAACTAGGTCATTTCGGGACTAACATATGGTTTAAATTTTATTTCAATAATTCGCTTGCGCGTAGGGGTCTTTAGCAGTGGGAGGAAACCGGAGGACCCGGAGAAAACCCACGAGGTTGGACAGGCGACCCTACTCCTTGTCACGTAACAACCGGAGATTCGAAACCACGCCAGTTGACTCAATGACAGGCTTTATGATACAGCACGCACGTGCTAACCATTCGGCCATCCCCCCCCCCCCCCCCCGTTATTCAAGCGGTGAATAACGAATCCCGGGATATAATTACTGCTTGGGTTAAGGGTGTGTAAATACTTGAGTAAAATCTTTCGGATAATGTATTTATTTTTATATTTAAAATGTGGTAATATATTGTCGTTACTTGCGTCCGTCGACTCGACCGTCCGTCCGGCGTCCACTATTGCCTGTGGGCACTCTAGAGGCTAAGGCTATCATCCGATTGACTTGAAATTTATACAATGTTTATTTTTTCTTAGAAGCCTATTAGTTTTGAACGATTTCCGATAATTACCGTCGGCGTTATGGCTCTTGATCAATTCCAAAAATTCCAGGGGTACATTTAGTGCCCGATTAGCTTAAACAATTATACAGTATTTATGTACATGGTGAAGAATATTGATTTTCGTCGGTTTCCAATAAATACTGTTGGTGTTATTACCCTTGCCAAATGCTTCACACCAGATTTGAACCAGCGGTTGCCAACAGTGGCGGCGCCAGCCGTCGGTGGTTGGAGGGGCAAAGCTGGGGCAAAGTCCACGGTTAAGGGGGCAAAGGGACGAGTTTCAACAGAAAATTTTGAAAAACAAGTTCCCGGACAATATTTCAGGCTCTGATCGTTGAGGTAAAGTGTCAAACGAACGGAGTTGCGGAACTCAACGAAGCCCACTCACGAGCGTCAAAGTAGGGAGTCTTTACGGAGGGTATGGGGGACCTCCCCCAGAAAAGTTTGAAAAATAGACTGCCGGAAATGTTGTCTGACAGTATACCGATCGTTGAGATAAATAGATCTAACCAGATACCGTCCGTCGCCTGATCACTAGTTTATCCGACCAGAGAACAAAATGTCAAACGAACGGACTTCCAAACCTCAACGAATTCCCCTTGTGAGCGCCAAATAGACTGTCGGAAAAGCTCTACAAGATGCAAGTCTATGACTGAGTGGCGATGTGGGATTTATTCACCGTAGAAGGTATTGATTACCGAAACGTATCACAAATATTGGGGGGGGGGGGGCAAACAGAGGGCAGACCAGATGCAATCATATTTTGCAGAGACAGAGAACAACCAGGGGCCACAATCCAGGAAGTTACAGTCCGATAAGCACGAATGTCGGAACGAACTGAGATCGTTTGGATATAAACATATATTTTAAGTTTCATCGAGATTGGATAAAAATTGTGACTTCATGATTCACAACCTCGGTATTACATACTTTTACATTATTTTTTGTACAACCAGGGGCTATAATGCAGGAAGTTAATGCCCGATATGCAGGAATATCGAAAGGAACTGAGATCTTTTGGATATAAACAAATATTTTAATTTTCGTTAAGATCGGATAAAAAATGTGACATCCAGAGCTCCACAACCTCGGTATTACATACTTTTACACTATTTGGATATACAAGTAGCAGAAATTCGAACTCAACTATCATTAGGGTGTAACGGTGATATATTAATACGTTTTTTGTTTGTTTTTTTTTTAAATCGGATGAAAATTGTGACCTCAAGACGGACCACAAGCTAAAAACACGATTTTTCGTAATATCAGGGGCCATCATTCAGGAAGTTACGGTCCGATATGCGCGAATATCGAAAGGAACCGAGATCCGTGGGTTATATAAACATACATTTAAAAGTTTCATCCAAATCGGATAAAAATTGTGACTTCTAGAGGGTCCACAACCGTGGAATTACATAATTTTCGACGATTTGCGTTCAAGGAGCGCCATTTTGTCCAGCAGTTTCGTCGGATGTTTACGAAATCCGAACTCAGTCATCATTAGGGTGTAACGGTGATATGTTTAAATGCTTTTTAAAATTTAATACAAAATCAGGGGGCATATACATCGCGTATATGCCCCCTGATTTTGTATTAAATTTTAAAATTTATCGATATAAAATTAAAATTTTCCTATATCGATATAGGAAATGAGATTTTTGTGATATAAACATAAATTTAATGTTTCATCAAATTTGTGGTGTAACCGTGATATATTTGAGCGTTTTTTTAAATCGGATAAA